TACCTTGCTGTATATGAACTCTCCCAGAGATATGTACCTTGCTGTATATGAACTCTCCCAGAGATATGTACCTTGCTGTAAATGAACTCTCCCAGAGATACGTACCTTGCTGAGCGAGTTCCTGTCCCCACAGCTTCCTCTCGGCTTTCAAACCATTCATCACAGATTGTTGAGCTTCAACTTGCGCTAACAACTTTGTCTTATCCTGAAATGATTTTGACAGTTTTTAGTTGCTGCCTCATCAAAAAACTTTCAATAAATCATGACAATTGTGTTAAGTAATTGTTATTGCAGGAACACTTAGATAAATTAAAATAGCATCAGTGTACACAAAGAAATGTAACAATTCCTGTAATATTAATATAGTAGAGGTCTTGGTGCTTTGTCGGCTAACCAGTCATTTGGTCGGTGGACCGCAAACTGCAATCATCTTAAATCTTTAAATTTTGAAAGGGTGCCAAAATGCAAAGATGTGAAAATGCCAAATAGGATACAATATATATTTTAAATAATCCAGGAGAATATAATTGTATGAAATGAGTAAAAACAACGAAAATAGCAAGCATAAATTAGCGTGTTGATCAACCAAATTATGTTTCTCAAGCAAGATATTGTTGCATGTGATTTTCGGTGTAGTAGTCACGTCTGAAAGTCATAAAACCTACTAGCTGAGGTTACATTATGTAATTCCTGTGTTTCCTGAGAGTTTGACCTATTAACGAGTAAATGATCATGCTGAATAAATATCTAGTGGAAGGACTGCTTCAATGGGGTTTTTTGGTTGAAACATTTGTTGTCGTGTAACCAGTTTCTCAAACCTAATATTTCTCAATAGTGAAATAACCTCCTGTTTTGAATTCTCGAATCTCCTTGAATACTATTACTATGTAAGCTCTGCACGCATTTAACAGTTTTATTCTTTGGTATCTAACTTTTAGAAAGTACAGAGGGGAGGGGAGATAACTCTGACCTGCTTCAGGAGTTCCAGCTGTAACATTCGTTTCCTGGCCTCCTCCACATGGCTCTCCAGTGTCAGAATCCGTTCCTGGTCAGAAAAAAAAGGAAACTTAACATCAAAAGTCTTCTGGCCATAAAGAGTGGCTAATTTATATAAAACAGCTTTCTATGGACTCTTTCTTATTGAACAAGAAAATACTGGAAAAGTTTTGAAATCATCTTCAGCATGAATTCAAACTTGTTGATGCAGTCATCAAACGGAATTATTTCTGTTGATGTAACATACTTAAAGTAAGTGGACTGTTGTAAGATACGACAGGTCACTTACCTTGTAATCAGTGGTCAGCTTATATTTATTTTCTTGGTCACTTACCTTGTAATCCACAGTCAGCTCATTCTTAGACTTGGAAAGTTCGGTGATTCGTCCCTTCTGTTCTTTTACCAACTGTGTAACCGAATAAATGTTTATTACAAAGAAAAGCAAGAAAGTGTCCTTGACTTTTAGCTATGTCATCTGCCACCCAAAAAGACAGAGTAACTTTTCACAGAAAAATTAAAACCATCAATATTTATGAAGTCCCCTAGTCAAACCTTGACAATCTAAGGTATTATAAATAGTTAAACTAACAATTTCATCATTATCTTTTCATTATAATACCATTTTTATTGGTGCCTGCATCAAGTTAATTTATCAGAAGGTTTTCTATACTCATTCATAGTATGGTCCGATTGTCATTACTGCGTTTCTTTCCTTGAGAATTAGTAACGCTATACATTTATTGCCCTTCCAGTAGGGAAACATGATTGTTTGTTTTTCTAGATGAAGCCTGAATGAAACATGAATAATCTCGGGGAAACAAAGTATCCTGTTTCCCTACCACAAAGGCAATCATGCAGAAATAAAACACTAATCCAATATTAAGATGATTTGGTGGATGGTCGTTGTTGCCTGGTTCAGTCCTTGGTAACTCAGTGGTGGCGGCTCTCTCTCATGTTTTCTACAGAAGTTCTGAATAAGGAAAATGTGATCGGGGAGACTCTAGCGTATGAGGGAGACATGACGTTTTATTACCCCGTCAATATCATCCAATCAGACACATGGTTATAAAGGGGAGGTATAATAATATCTAAGATTTACATGGTGGGTATCACTAATACTCTTCTGATTGAACACCTTGTCTCATTCTCCTTGTACTATTTGGTCTCTATGAACATATCTCCTTGGTTGATAGTGCAATTTGCCCTAGTTTCTATTTCTTTGAGTATATTTTTTCTCTGTCTAGATTAAGACTGATATTTCAACAATGAGTATGTTAGACCACAATGACATGTACCTCTGATCATCGTACTGAACAATGAGCATGTTAGACCACAATGACATGTGTTGACCTCTGATCATCGTACTGAACAATGAGTATGTAAGACCACAATGACATGTGTTCACCTCTGATCATCGTACTGAACAATGAGTATGTTAGACCACAATGACATGTGTTGACCTCTGATCATCGTACTGAACAATGAGTATGTTAGCTAGACCACAATGACATGCATTGACCTCTGATCATCGTACTGAACAATGAGTATGTTAGACCACAATGACATGTGTTGACCTCTGATCATCGTACTGAACAATGAGCATGTTAGACCACAATGACATGTACCTCTGATCATCGTACTGAAAAATGAGTATGTTAGACCACAATGACATGTGTTGACCTCTGATCATCGTACTGAATAATGAGTATGTTAGACCACAATGATATGTACCTCTGATCATCGTACTGAACAATGAGTATGTTAGACCACAATGACATACTCATTGTTCAGTATGATGATCAGAGGTGAACACATGTCATCGTACAGAACAATGAGTATGTTAGACCACAATGACATGTACCTTTGATCATCGTACTGAACAATGAGTATGTTAGACCCCAATGACATGTGTTGACCTCTGATCATCGTACTGAATAATGAGGTCAACACATGTCATTGTGGTCTAACATACGCATTGTTCAGTATGATGATCAGAGGTGAACACATGTCATCGTACAGAACAATGAGTATGTTAGACCACAATGACATGTGTTGAACTCTGATCATCGTACTGAACAATGAGCATGTTAGACCACAATGACATGTACCTCTGATCATCGTACAGAACAATGAGTATGTTAGACCACAGTGACATGTGTTCACCTCTGATCATCATACTGAACAATGCGTATGTTAGACCACAATGACATGTGTTGACCTCTGATCATCGTACAGAACAATGAGTATGTTAGACCACAATGACATGTGTTCACCTCTGATCATCATACTGAACAATGAGTATGTTAGACCACAATGTCATTGTGGTCTAACATACTCATTGTTCTGTACGATGAGTATGTTAGACCACAATGATATGTACATCTGATCATCGTACTGAACAATGAGCATGTTAGACCACAATGACATGTACCTTTGATCATCGTACTGAACAATGAGCATGTTAGACCACAATGACATGTGTTAACCTCTGATCATCGTACTGAACAGTGAGTATGTTAGACCACAATGACATGTGTTAACCCCTGATCATCGTACTGAACAATGAGCATGTTAGACCACAATGACATGTGTTGACCTCTGATCATCGTACTGATTACAAATGATGAGACGATATTTATTATGAGGATCAGCATATATAGGTAGCATAGGTGTCAGCCTCTGAAACCTACAATGAGGGAGATCTCCCTCATTCCACATTTCCACAGAGGGAGAAAGTGTGTGAAACATGACAGAAACTGCTTTGCTAAATTGATCTTTCCCTTCTATTGAGTATCAAAATAACTCAAGAAAGCATGAATTTGATTCAGACACTCTTGTTATGATCATTTCACCAACCCTGCAGTAACTAGAAGATCATTTGACCACAGAATATAGATTTTGAGTTTGTGTGAGTTTGGACTTAAATGACGGAGTTTCAAGGGAGATTGGTTTCTCCCTAATGAGGGAGGGTTGACAGCTATGAAGTAGATCTAGTGTCCACAGAAAGTACTCACACATTTAAACAACGAATAGGAGGCAATACAACAAACAATCAGTCAATACAATGTATAGGTGTGTTCCAATGTACCACACACAATCAGTCAATACAATGTATAGGTGTGTTCCATGTCAGTTTGGTCTTACTAAACTATCAAATAATTCCATTTATACATGACATTATGTAAGCAAATGTTTTAGTACAATATTTTATTACAAATGTTTCCAGTGTTTATTTTATACTAACTGCGGTAAGTTCAGTGAACATCTCAGTCATTTTCTCGTCTTTCTTCTGGGCGGCCATCAGGGCCTGTTTGTTCTCCGCGTTTTCCTCACTCACTCGCTGGAAGACATTTTGAACCTGTAAGTACATTATATGATTAGCCCTGTGTTAAACACAGAGTGAACATGTTGATTAATGTTTTATAAATAGAACATGATAATCAATAATTATAGCATATTCTAACACAATTCGTTTGCAACACGTGTTTTGATTGGATACAGACCATGTTCTAATCTGCGATAGAATCATGATCAATCGTGTTAAGCTCCTCCCATCGCACTTAAGCCACGCCCGTTTCCAACAAAAACAATATGGCGTCAAGCTCGCCTCTTAGCGAAATCCCGCTGA